CTACTAATAATAATAGTAATAAAGAGCAAAAAAGTAAATAAACAAATTATAATAATATAACAAATTAAAGATCTGAAAAAATACTTCTACTAATAATAAAAAGTAAAAATATATTAATAAGTAAATAATTTTTATTATTTATAAAAATTATTTATATATATAAATATAGACTTCCGGGGGGGAAGTAGTGGCCTAATGTTTAGAGAGTCGGACTCGTAACCCAAAGGTTGCGGGTTCGAATCATTCTCTGCATATTGATAGCGGCCCCCTGATGCGCGAAAATTATATGCAATATTAGAATGTTTGCGGGAGTGGGCGGGACTGGACACAGTCTTCTTCAGGGCTCTAATACAAAAACGCACACTATGAATGGCGTCTGTAGAAAGCAAAAGCCGAATCCCGGACATTTTGGGCGATTTAGAAATCCCGGCCGGACGCATTTTTTAAGGTCCAAAAAGAGGACATGTCCGGGAAAAAGAGGACAGATGGTCACCCTAGTTAAGAGTTTCATTTGACAATTCAAGCCTTGTGCTTGAGGTCATGAAACGACATAATGAAAAAAGAACTTCTAAAATATCTGCTCAACTGTTTACCATACAAAATCATGGTAACAGTGGCAAACAAAAATAGGAAATTAGTGGTTTAAAAAATAATTATTATTATTTTAATTCATTAATTATTATTAATTCATTAAAAAGAGAAAATATACTACTACTAATAATAGTAATAAAGAGCAAAAAAGTAAATAAACATAAATTATAATAATATAACAAATTAAAGATCTGAAAAAATACTTCTACTAATAATAAAAAGTAAAAATATATTAATAAGTAAATAATTTTTATTATTTATAAAAATTATTTATATATATAAATATAGACTTCCGGGGGGGAAGTAGTGGCCTAATGTTTAGAGAGTCGGACTCGTAACCCAAAGGTTGCGGGTTCGAATCTCGTACCGGCAGGGCCCCAACTGCTCCCGGGCGCCGCAGCATAAAAATGGCTGCCCACTGCTCCGGGTGTGTGTGTGTTCACTGCTGTGTGTGTGTTCACTGCTGTGTGTGTGCACTAAGGATGGGATAAATGCAGAGCACTAATTCCTAGTATAGGTCACCATACTTGGCCACATGTCACGTCACTTTCACTAATAACAAAAGTAAGATAAATAAATAAGCAAATAATAGCAATAAAGTAAAAAAATTAAAATAAAACAACAATTAAAACAACGTAAAAATTACGGTTTTTTTTGTTTTGTTTTTTTAAGTTGAAGTTGGCATTAGGACTATTTTGTAAATGTACCCCTCTAATAAATCAACACAGAACGTTCATCCCGAAACGGTAAGGACAACGGTTTGTCCCGGGACAGTGCAGATTGAGAAGATCTCTAATAATTGAGTTGTACTGAGCGTTTGTCCTGGGACAGTGCAGAAGGCCAATGAGAGCAGCCCTAACATAATTGTTGTTTTATCAATGCCGTGGTTAAGTTTGCAATTAAACAAGGGACATGCACTTAGCACCAAACTATGTTATCTATTTATGCTCATACAAGGCGATGCATTTTGTAAGATAAACGCGGGAAAGTGCAAGGGGAATGTAATAAGTTACAGCAGCCCCTCCCTCAACTCTGCGCCTGCGGTTACACAACTATTCACGCGTACATGAGCTCGAGCCAGTTGTTTATTTCGGTCGTGTCTTGTAAACAAAGCAAAGCAATACTGCATTTATATGTGGAAAAACAAAACAGTTACAATGCAGTGACAACAACACAAAGCAGCAAGCATACAGACACGGGCTTGGCTGCATGTGCTTCGTTTTCTGTCTGAGAAATGCGCAGAGTAAAATTGCGCCCTTAGTAAGTTACATGTAAACAGCGCTTCCGTGTTGTGGGAATAGAAAGTAAATAAGCTGATCAGTATGTTCTCGTGCATACACACAGCTGCTGGTGCAGTTTCTGCGCAGCGTCCCTTCACAACTCAAGATCAAGCTTTTACAATCAGCCCTCGCTGCTAAATCGAGTCCATCACGGGTGCGACACACTTTATCTGCCACTGAATGAAATTTCCCCGACACTAATGACACGTCGCACCCAAAATTTCCCAACCGGCCCAGCCACAAATCTATAAAACCCTCACCTGCAGCCGCCATGCTGGAGAAGGAGTGCGTGTCATATCCCCGGATGGGGGCGTGTCTTGCTGCGTGACGTCGACACGCATCCAGCGCTGCGCTCACGGAGGTTTGGGTAATGTAGCCTAGTCTTTATGGTTAGAGTTCAGTTTAATCTTGTTGTCAATGCTTGTAAACGGTGCTCCCCAAAATATTTGTACACATATACCGTATCTGGCATGAAGTTCATTGCATTAGATAATTATATAACTGGAGAGCATACTTGTATTTTGTAGTGTTTTGACCAGCAGAGGGCAGCTTCAAATCGTGTCAGCATTCTGTCATCCTCTAATATTTACTTGCTCAAGCTTTGAAAAAAAACTGGAGAGAACAACTTCAAGAGTGTCTTCATCATATCATCATTATCAGCTTCAAAGTGAGACACATCATAACACATATGCACACACTAAAGCGTCTTCGTCTGCGATTGGCTACTTTTCAATTATTTGTACAACCAGGGGCCTGTACCATGATGGTGGCTGAACAAACTCGGGGTTACAGGATTAGTTTTGAGTTGACAAAACCAAACCAGTCCAATCCGGCTTTGTTGGTACCATGAAGCTGATCATCAACTTTCTCTGTCAACTCAGGCTTTGATCCTGAGGTAATGGAGCACCTGCACACAAAAGAGTGACATCAGTAATGAACAGCCAATCACATGCCTTGAAACTGTGATTCACTTCTCGCGAGAGAGTCAGTGCGATTCACTACCAAAGATTAAAAGATTGAACAATATGAAGAATTTAAACACATTTACAAGATGAAACGATCTATCCATGAAAAAGTAAAACTTAAAGATTACATCTTGCCTTATAAGTGCAAGTAAAAGTTGTAAAGTTAGTTTATAGAGTTGATAATATTTATTGGTATAAAAACACTTAAAAATCTAAGCTCATATGTAGTCATGTTTAAAGCTATTGATTCTAAAACTTATTTATATTGCATATTATCTATATGTTTATATTAATTTAAAATAAAAGCTTAATAATTACTATTAAACTAAGCTAGCTTGTGTAATGGTTTAAGGGTATAATAATTATATAAATCATATAAACTAATTGTAAAAAATAATCTCTAAAAATCAGACAATTTTCTCTTTAAAAATGTTTTACTATGTAGCGTCCTTTAATTTGGAGTTAGAGAAACTGAGGGAGTGGCTTCATTGCGTCAGACATGTGTCACTTTGCTTGAAGCTGATTGGTCAAATTTCACTTTGAGATCTCTAAACCAGAACATAACCTGCCCCAGAGCAGGTTAGCTGTGGAGTGTAAGTTACTAAGGCAATGAATGCCGCTAAAAGCCAAGCCACTTTCATGGTACCTAAAACCCAGGATTGGTGCAAACTAAACTGAAACTTACCTGGCTAGCCAGCTAATCCGGCTTCATGGTACAGGCCCCAGATCTGGTTTGATAACCTTACTGAAAGTAACTTAATAAATGTTCATTTATTAATAAATATTAACACATGAACCATCCACTTAAAATAGAAGGATTTGTTTATTCACCAGCAGTATTAGCAATGCATTTCTTTCAAGTTAATGGGCAAACGTCACATAATTAATATTTATGAGCAAGGACTTTACCTGAAGTAGGACTTAAAAACACACCATGCGGCCTGTATAAATGTAAGTTTTATTTCCTATTTATAGAAGTTAAGTTTATGATAACTTAAATTACTTTAATACTATATAATTTTAGATCATTATTTCAAATACATTTAAATATTTATAAACGTCATAATATTATTTCATACATATTCATATTTGAAGGTTAATAAACTACTAAACTGTTAAACCAGCAAGTGGCAGGGTTTTCCATAGTGGGGTTTGTGAGATGAAAAAAATATAATAAATAATCAAAATAAAACACTTACTGAAAATATGAAATATTTTATTCGTTTACCTCTATGTTATGAGACCATTAACCAACATCAGAAATCTGTGAGTTGTTCAATTATTGAAATATTAACTTAAAACCTCAGGGGGTATTTCAGGTAAATATTTAAAATATTTTTCAGCTGACAAAAAGTTTGGGAATCCCCGTGTTAAATTGTGTTTACTTTTGTTAATGACCAATGCAAGTTATTTTACAATGTTTACATCGGGTGAAGGCTGATGTTCATATTGTACAACAGTGAAGGTGTCTAATGTGTTTTGTCAAGTTTCGTATGTTTCTGTTTAGCTTTTTGGCAGTTCAAATACACAATCCATGTAGTCTCTCAATTAACATTAGGATATATGGCGTAATAATTATTGAAAGAATTAAATGAATATAGTTCACCCAAAAATGAACATTTTGTCATTATTTACCCACCCTCATGTTGTTCCAAACCTGTATAGGTTTCTTTCGTGAAGATATTTGGATGAAAAAACAGTTGTTGGTCCCCACTCCCCATTGACTTTCATAGTATATAGGGAAAGAAAAACTATGGAAGTCAGTGGGGACCATCAACTGTTTGATTACCAGCATTCTTCAAAATGTCTTCTTTTATGTTCAACATAAGAAAGAAACTCATACAGGTTTGGATGATATGAGGGTGAATAAATGATGACAAAATTTCCATTTTTGGGTGAACTATCCCTTTAAGAAATAGAAATGATTTTAGAAGTCAGTGGCATGTCACATAAAACTGAATTTTATGTCTGCATAAAGCACAGGGTGGCAGTGTTGTCATTGACAGAAAAGAAAGTGTAAACCCACACCAAATCTCATTTGTGCTTTCCGGAAAGCCGACGCTATAAAGCACATGTGACGCACATAGTTTCATGGTTGAAGTGTAAACCAGATGCTCAAGTGAGTAAAAAAGTCAAATAAAGTGCCTGTGGTAGGTGCTGAATCGACACGGTTTTATATCATGACACCAGACATCTTCTCTTATCCTTTCACCAACTCAAAAGTCTTTAAGATGATGGAAAAAGGAATCAATTCAGCTCATATTTCATAATTATTGCAACAGGAAGCTGATGCCACATGACACCATGCCTCATTCGAGAGTAGAAATAAGCGAGGGAACATCAGGCATGACTGTAAGGCTTTCCCTCTTTTTTTATCGGTTTGTTTTGAGCCAAACTTCAGAGCGGTAACCATAGATACAACTTCTGTGTGTCAAATAGGTCACTGAAGGGCAAGGCCGGAGCACGTGGGAGGATTGGGAGCACGTGGGAGGATTGGGAGCACGCCAAGTTTCAGAGAACATCCCACAGTTCAACAGAGATGAGGCGGTGGGAGGCAAAGGTGACGCCCACATCTTATGCATTCATCTTTTTTCAGTGCATAACCTCAGAGGCCGTGTCTTAAGATATTGACCAAACAGCTCAGTCTTTGTTTTGGCAACAGGGATTCTCCCCTCACACTACACACCAGCTGTGTCACATGTGCTTGCAGAATCATTGATTTCAGAAGTGATAGTGTACTATGATTGGCTGCTGGTTGGTTTCACTTCCATTCTTACAACTTTGGTCCAGTTTTTTGGTGATAAGAGTTTCAGGTTTTTGTTTTGATTTGGTGTTTGTTCTGATGTCACTGCGTTGCCAGGAAGAGGGTTTTTTTTTTCGGATAAGAGAGTCATCGATGTGATCTCTGCGTGATTATATGCAGTTTGGAGAGCTGCAGCTATGCAAATGTGCTCATTTCCATATCGACGCGGTGCTGCCTCATTTCTGCCATTTGGCATGTGTAGTCATTGGCAGTAATTAGTGGAGCACACAAAAGAATTTCTTACCAAAACTCTAAACCGGAGTTAACTTTCATTTAGCTGAAAACTTAAACCAAAAATAAAGTTTTGGGTGTTAGATTTGGGTTGTTGAACTCTTTATGCTGCACTGTATAAAATTATTTTTTGAAGTTGTGAATAAAACAAAGATTATTTAAAGGACGTTTTACAAGAAAATTCTATATCAGTTTTTCTACTTCAAAATTTCACATTTAATTCAATGTTACTTGCCATTTCTTTGTAATTGTTTATGAAATTTACTAGCTATTTCTGACAAAAAATTGTTTCTGCACCATTTTTTTTCAGTTGGTAACAAAGCAGTTGTAGTACAGTTCTTTGCCAATAAACCGCTTCTCAATATTACAGCCAAACTAATTTTATACATATTACTACTCTAGCATTTTCAGTCATGTTTACTTGTTGTAATTTATTTGTGTTGTGAACTGGGTAACAAAATTAACTAGTATATATATATATATGGTGATATCTGTTCTGGAAACATTTATATATGCATAAATGTTTCCAAAACAGAAATCTCAACATTAAAGCCATGTTCAAAAGTCTTGTTTATTTTGTTGACATATTAGAGTTTTTTTTTTTTTTTTTAGATATTTTGGATATCTGTTTTTATCACTTCATAAATCAGAAAATGAAATGTTGTGTAAAATCAGACAAATTATATATGAACAAACCTGAAAACTATTATTTCTGACTCATTTTGAGACAACTTCCTTTACAGTATTGCAGTTGAAATCTGCAGATAAAGTGTAATAAAATAAACACTTAAAAGTGTGCATCTTAGATGTTTTCTTTCCACTAGTCCGATACAATACCCTATAAAAAGCCAAATAGCCTAGAATCTGGTCAAAAATTGACGAAGACATGAAAAACAATGTTTTTGCCTGTAGTGTCTTGCCTTAAACTTCATTATTTCAGTCAATGATTTTGGCCCTCCAAAAGTATTTCAGCTGGAGCTTGCTTGCTTATTTATTTATTTACACTTCACCTGCAAATTTTTGGTTGTCAAAATATCGGTGCATCACTAGCAACAATGTAGAAATTATTAGTTGTAATATTAGTTGTAGTAGTTTTTTTGTTGTGCAAAAGGCATAATATAATTCAAAAGAAGAAGCCTAGTGAGCCTAGAGTTGCTGAGGCATGAAAAATCTGGAAAAAAAAGTGCAAACTTGTTCCTATTAAATCACAACCTGCTGTGTTGGATGTTTGGTTGTCAGGTTGTGTTTTGGTGAATCAGTCGACTGTTGACTCTCTGGGGATTGTTTGCCCACCTGAGTGCTTTATCAGCGCTGATTATGGGATCTATAG